TGCATTTTAATAGGATTTCTGCAGCATTTACTTCACTGTACTCATGCTCACTCAATTAGCAGTTTTCAATTTCAGACCTAAATTCTATTTTTTCATTTAGAATGATTACGACTGGTTTTTGAAAGCCGACGACGACACATATGTCGTTCTCGAGAATTTGAGGTGAGCCCTTATTGGAGTTTTACAGTTTTTCGTTCAATTTTACCGTATTTGTAGATACTTACTTCTTCCTCACTCTCCCGATCAGCCCATCCACTTTGGATGCAAATTTAAACCTTTCACCAAGCAAGGTTATCACAGCGGTGGTGCTGGTTATGTGCTTAGCCGTGAAGCTTTGAAAAAGTAAGTCTACTGAACGATTGGCGAATTTTCATAATAGCCCTCTTCAGATTCGTCACTGAAGGTCTCACAGACCCAAAGAAATGTTCTCCTAATCATGGTGGAGCAGAAGATGCTGAAATGGGAAAGTGCTTAGAGAAGATTGGAGTATTTGCAGGCGATTCACGTGATAGTTCACAACACCATAGGTATCTTTAGTTTTTTGCAGTTCCTTTTTTTTTGCATCGTATTGATCATTTGTCAGGTTTATGCCATTTGTACCGGAACATCACATCATGCCTGGCCATGTTGATAAGTCGTTTTGGTTTTGGTCATATACCTATTACCCGTTCGAACAAGGCCCTGGCTGTTGTTCTGGTAAGCTTTTTGCAGAATACAGAAATTTCTTTTCTTTATTGTTATAATCCTTTCATTCTTGCTATTTGCTTCGACCTTTCTTATCTTTTATTGATTTCAGACTACGCTATCTCATTCCATTATGTCAATGCTAATCTCATGTATGCTTTGGAGTATCTAATCTACCATCTAAAACCATTTGGTATCGATCGATCACTCAGGTAACGTTCGAGTTCAAATCTCTTTTTCAAACGTGTTGCGTAAATAGCTTTTGTTGCGTTTATATAGAGTTTGAGGAATGATTTACTTTGATGCAATGTATAATAGCCCTTGCATACGAATGCATTTGTTGCGTTTATAGGGCTTTTAGTGATTTTATCATTGTGCGAAGCGAGGGGAATGTGGTAGGGTTTTTGATATGAGGAGATTATAGACCAAACTTCTGCTTTCCATTTTGCAAGAACGGCTACAGCTGTTCTCATAGAGTATTGTCGTTGCTCGTTAAGCA